TGTTCTTGAAGAGCTAGAATATCAGTATAATATTAACATATAATTGACTAATTATAAAAGTGCTCATTCATTAGTCATGATTCCAAATGTATAGTAAAGACTGACCAAATTTTCTTTAGAAGTTTTTAAATTATTTTAAAATTTTACTTTGTGTGCATGTATGGGGGTCATGGCAATGAAATGTGGGGGTCAGAGTGCATTCTCTCCTCCCATCATGTATGGAAGATGCTAGGGATTGAACTCAGGTCATCAGGCTTGGAGGCAAGCACTCTTACCAACTGAGCCATTTAACTGTCTCGAGACTTCTCACATTTTCTATTAAGCTGAGAGAGTTTGTCCCAGGTTGGTCTGACACTGAAGCCCATGGTATTTAATCATTATGTTTCCTAGTTCTTGAAGAAAGGGTAAACGAGTTGTTATAAACAAGCACAGTCGCAAAAATGACTCATAGTTTGGAGCCTGACTGTTTCCCAAAGCCTCATGTGTTAAAGGGTTTGGATGCTAGTCTTGGTGCTGTTAGGAGGTGGTAAAAACATTAGGAGGGCTGGGCGTGGTGGTACACGCTTTTAATCCCAGCACTCTGTGAGTTCAAGGCCAGCCTGGTTCACATAGTGAGTTCCAGGACAGCTGGGGCTACAGGGAGATCCTGTCTCAAAAAGACCGAAAAAAAAAAACCCCAAAAAACCAACAACAACAACAAAAGACCCAAAAACATTAGGAGGAAGAGCTTAGTGGACATTATGTCATTGGGGTTATATCCTTAAAGGCTATATTGGTACCCTGCCCTTACTCTGCTTCACAACTGCCTTGAGGAAAGCAGCTTCATCCGCAAGCTCCCATAACCATGTATGTTTGCTGTGTTGCTTCAGGCCCTAGAGATGAGGCCAAGAGATAGACCCAAACCTCTGAAACCATGAGTCAAAATGAATCTACCTTCCTTTTTAGTTGTTTTTCCTCATTTTGTCATAGCAACAGAAAGCTAAGATGATAACCTTGAGAAATCAATCAACAAATGACATTGTTAAGATGCTGACTTATTTTGGAATGATGGTTCTTTCTTCAGTTTTCTTTTTAAATATATTTTATTTATTATTTTTATTTATGTGTATGAGTGTATTGCTTGCATGTATGCAAGTGCACCTGCATCATGCAATGGCCATGGAGGTCAGAAGAGAGCATCGGATTCCCCTGGAACTGGATGGTTGTTAGTCACCATGTGGGTGCTGGGAATCGAACTCTGGTCCTCTGCAAGAGCAGCCAGTGCTCTTAATTGCTAAGCCATCTCTCCAGCCCCTCCTCAGTATTCTTTATGCTGTCTTTCTAACAACTAGTCTTTAAAATTATCGTTAATTATGTGGGGGGAAAGTGATATGTTTGGAAGAAATTTGAGTGACTGAGGGAAATTACATTAAGGAATTAGCCCATGGTACTTTGGAGCTCTGGATGTGGGGACCATGGTGGTCTGAGCTTCGCTTCTCTGGAAGAAATTCCTCTGTGTAGTCATAGCAAACATGTCTGAGAACTGAAAATTTGGAGTGATCTTACTATTTTGCTTGAGAAAGGATTTTTGTAGACTAGCAAGCAGGTGGGAAGGTCTGAGTTGTGACCAGTTTTATTTTTTAAAATAATTGTGCGCGTTATGTGTGTGTGCATGGGGGGGGGCATGTGCTACAGTGCTTGTGTGGGGGTCAGAGCACAACCTTGGGTGTCTATCCTTTCTCTCTACCTTGTTTGAGAAAGGGTCTCATCTCAACTGCATATAGCACTTCTAGGGATTTGCTCTCTCTGCCTCTATCTTCACAGTGGCTCTGGAATTACAGACACAAGCTTAACTTCCAGCTTTTATGTGCGTTCTAGAGACCCAAACACAAGTCCTCATGCTTATGCAGCAAACGCTTTACCTGTTTCACCGTCTCCCAACTCCATGATCAACATTCTTCTTTGCTGCCTAGTAGCTAGTTATCCCTAGAACTTTCTATAGCAATTAGGTAATGAAATTTTGTTCAATTAGCTTTTTCTTTTATCTTCTCTGCTCATTCCTAGTCTCAATCTCTCTGATAAATACTGGTTCATACACTTCTCAATTTACCTTACCTGGGAAAATTCCCAGGTCAGATCAAGTATGACGGCATTTCCCTTACAGAAGTAACCTGGTCTCTAAGGGAAACTAACAAAGTAGAGAGAGAAAAAAAAATCTTTAAGAGGTATGCACTCAGGCTAGGGGATAGTTCAGAAAGTGAAGTGCTTGCCTTGCAGGCCTGAGAACCTGTGTTTGACTCCTCAGAATCCACATTAAAATAAAAAAAAGAAAGCTGGGTCTGGAGGTGCTTGCCTATAAGCCCACAGCTAGGGATGCTGAGACGGGCCAGTCTTTAGGGCTCACCACAAACATGTACACACACACACACACACACACACACACACACACACACACACACACACACATACCGTGTGCACAAAATATGCACTCAGGAATTTCCTTTGAGTTCATCACTATCATATTTGTCAGAATTGCAACATCTTATAGATAAGAGTTTCTATATTAGGTCTAAAGTTGAACAACTTTAAATGTAAACAATCTCTCCCTGAATTTTACAACAAACAGCAACGAGCTAAAAGACTAAAGACTGTAAACTTGTATGGTCAGTTGGCATGCCATGCACATTTTATGTTTGATATTTTGTTTATGGTGATAATTCCTTTCCAGTTTATAGACGTCAAACTGTAGAGCAGTTGTTTTCCTCCTTGCAAGCTAATTTCTTTCTTCAAGAAGACGGGCTGTGCAGTGTTTGCACTTAGAAACAAGCAATCCCCTCAGTGCTGCCTCGCCTCCCCATTATTCTCCTGTTTGCACCTAAGGAAGTCTTTCCTAAACACCTCCCGGAGGTCACTGAAAACATCCTTCATATGAAGGAGAAGTGCTTTTTAAGCTCCCTGGCCTCTCCTCTGGACTCCATCCAAGTGCTGATATAGTTCCCTGGAGAGACCAGCCTGGTTCGAAGCTCGCTGTTTGATGGTGATGTGCTCCTAAGCACTGTTTCTCCTGTGTCCAGAGCCTCCCTTGATTCAGTCAATGACTCATTCACAGCGGGTCTTGTTAGTCATAGTTCGAATTTATTTTTCTTTCTTCATAGATCACCATGATAGTATTTTTGATAATCTAAAAGTAAAAATAGCCCTCTGTCATTCATTTGGATCTTTTCGACCCCTTCCTTGGGTTTAAAAGATTGAAGGGATGAACTCAGATTATTGCTGTAGGATTTTTACCAAAATATGGCAAAGGACAATGAACACAGAGGCTCTGCATGTTTCTTTGTAGGTTGTATGAATTTCACCAACAGATAAGTTTTATACTTATTTTAAAATTTTTTATGCATATGAGTGTTTTGCCTGTATATATGTAAGTGAACCTGGGCATGCAATGCCCACAGAAGCTGGAAGAGGGTATAGAGTTCTCTGGAACTGGAGTCAGAGACAGTTGCTAGCCACCATGTAGGTGATGGGAACTGAACCCAAGTCTTCTGCAAGAACAGCCAGTGCTCTTAACTGCTGAGCCATCTTTACAGCCCCTGAACATACTTTTTAAGTACACCTATATTGGGCATGTATAGTATTTTTTCTGCCATTATTCCATAAATGAAATAGCATGACAATTCTGTACAAAGACTTTACATTGTAGTTAAGTATTACAAGTAACCTGCGGAGATTTAAAGTATACAGGAGGTCATACACTAGTTACATGCAAATACCACACCATTTTACATAGGGACTTGTGCATTTAAAGATTTTTTGTTATCCACAGAGCATCCTAGAACCAAAACCCCCAAGGTGACCAAGGGCTAACTGTACTTAACTGAGGTGACTGTATCTGGCATTTACAGTGACCACATTATTTTTTCCAAATCACTAAGACACATTGAACTAAAGGAGACAGAATAAATTATCTTCTCTGGGAACGGTATTCTTTCTTTCTGAGCTACTGATGACTTCTGTAAAAAGATGAATCTATTCATTTGCTTGATTGCAGTAATTATTTCACTGAGTATATGCATATAAAATATACAGTAAAATATAAAGAAATATTTTGAATCATTTGTTTTCTTGATTCATTTAAAAAATGGGCCACATAATTGAACAGAGAGTTGCCAAAAGAAGAAGTAAAAATGACTAAGAAATGCCTTTAAAAGTGTTCAAAATGAACCGGGTGTGGTGGCGCATGCCTTTAATCCCAGCACTCAGGAGGCAGAGGCAGGCGGATCTCTGTGAGTTCGAG